ACGTAACTAGAACTGGAGCGATAATTTTGCTCATCCTAGCTTGAGCTCGTTGTGCACTATCACCCAGTGTGTCGAATCTTGTGACCACCGAACTCATTAAGCACATTTGGACTGTGCCTTCTGCATTAGTTATTCAATTATGCTGATGGTTGTTCTGCTCACCTTGTTCAGTGTCAGTCAGTCACCGGTTGTTCATCAATTCGGCTTCAGACTCGGAGGTAAGTTTCTTTTCCTGTCACTCATGGTGTCATTCTGATTACAAGAAAGCGATGAATAGGTATTTTAGTTAAATGCTTTGGAAAATACTCCACATGGGCATCTCAGAAGATCACATTGATTCCACAGTGGCTTTTGAGGGAGAAAAATTCCTGATCGAAATCAAGATGTGGCCCTCTACTTGAAAACTTTTACTCTCCTGTGATCGGTCTACCCAATTTTACCCTATTTGCACGCAGGTATTTGATTCCCGGTATTTCCTTGTGCGGTTGGATGATCTACGCACTTGCAATACATTAGATCGGCAACAGAACGGCCATTCCATACCGGCAGAATGCGTAAATCAAGCACATCAATTTGTGACGTATGCGAGTTCTGCTAAGATTATGCCCGTCAACACCAGTCAGCTTCGTGGATTGCATCTTGCACCCCCACCAGGTTGGCCTGCCAGTCGCCCATTCACGTGGACCAATTATCTCACATTCCTTTCCACAAATCTGCATTGCTCTCCTGTTGGCAATGGTTTATTACGTGCCGCATCGACGAGCAGTCTGATTTCTTCTGTTCAACCCCTCAGTTCCGAACCACGACTGACGGAAGATGTGTACAGTGTCAACGACCAGAAACCAACAGATGTACATAGTTCTACAAGCCGTTTTCTCGTGGATGATTCTCAACTACCCGTTAATTGCGTTCCTTTTTGCCCATCCGAGTCCTTATTTCGAGGTAGAACCCAGACGTCATTTGCTGTTGATACTGGTGGCTCCCGTGGCTCATCCCTGTTCTCTGACCCCGCCGTTAGTGCCTTTTCCCATGACCAAATGACATCACACGATTCAGAAGTAGACTGTTGTACTGCCCCCGTTCCATCACGTCATTCCCATACCGATACAAGTGGTCCGGATCGATTTCTTTTGGGTATGAAGTTAGAAATGGTGTTGCCGCGCAATGTACGTAATCTGTATTCAGATTTAGCGGAAATCGGACCGGCTCTCTGCACGGGAACTGTCACACGTGTCCACGGAGCGCATCTTCTCTGGATTCTACCAGACTTGAATTTCACTCGTTTCGGTTCAACTGAGCCCAACCGACCAATCATGGTGGATGCTCGTTCAACTCAGCTGTACCCGGTTGGTTGGGCCGCGTTCGTTGGACATCCAATTATCGCTCCTACTGGTTACGATCAATGTGAAATCGAACCAGAAAATGGGCTACCTATCCGACGACATGATCAAATCACTGAAACAAAGTCCTGTGAAGGTGGTCTATCTGATCAAGTTGGGGCATTATGGGATGTTGGTTTACGCTCCACACATTGCTTGCAGTACCAAACGATCGGTTATGATGCAGAGGAAATTTGTCCTCCGGTTTACATAAATACCAAGTGCTATATAGGTCCGTTCCTGTGTAAAGTAAGTCACACCTCACTCTAGTTTGGCCTCTGACACTAATAATTTGATTTTCTGTAAATTATTTGTCGAAATATCGCCATTTTTTTCGACATCTAAACTGGCTGCAAAATCTCTTATCTCAGAGTTCTTATTGACACTTATTCGAGTGTTATGGAATAATGGTTCAGATGCTATGTCACATGCTAGTTTTGTGAGTTGATCTTTGAAATATGAAAAATTGCCCTTTCTTTGGATAGGATAATCATGGGTTTGTGGCTCATGAAACTATGTTTACTTCTGGAACTTATTATTTCGCGCTTACAGTGCTCTTTTCATTCTACCCCGACAGAGAATAACATTGCGCTGGGTATTTTGCTTCACTCATGTTACAACCCCTAACTATCACCAAGGCCTGCTTTCTTACGCGTGTTTGTTTCCCACTTTTTTCTTTATAAGAACATGTCAACCAACAACACCATTGAATTTTCAATGCTATGTTACGGTTTATTATCATAACCCAACCCAGAATTATCGGTTTACTAAAATACTGCATCAGGTGCTTTTGTGTTATAATCTTGAGATTTTTAATATTGGGTGATATATTTGTTAAGCATTGCATACGGCATGAGACTATCACCTGACCATGGTTCTCTTGTTCGGCATTCGGCCATCCGCATCGCAGCACATTATGTACGATGTTATCCGAATGTTGTCGTCGCCATCATCATCATCGTCGTCGTGCAGCGAGGTACCATGAAGCAAACTTCGCTGATCAATACCAACTTACTTACTTTACTTTACTGCGGCTGGTTCCTTGGAAAAGATAAGTCGGCTCCAGACATGATCATCATCAAGAATTTACTTGGGAGTTTGGTACGAGAGACGTCTCCAGTGTCACTCGGCGTTTTTTATTTCGAAGACGCACCTCTAGCCTTTGCGCAACCAAGTGCGAACAGCAAGGCAGCAGGAAGTAATCCCTCGCCTCGGAAGTGAGGGGGTCAATTACTAGTCTTAAAAGGCCAGTGACATCGACCTTTGACACAACACGGTCATTGGGCTTATGCGGCATTTAATCAGGGGCCGGGTAACCAGCCTGAAACCCACCACACCCTGGCATTGCCGCCGATGTTTGTTCGCGACTGCTTATTTATTGCGTTATGCCACAACTTATTCACAGCTAGCCTTCTTCGGTGAAGGTATCCCCCCATCTACAACCCGGGGACACGCCTGGTGGTATTCAGCTCTGTTTAACCCGGGGCTATCCAGGACCGCTGCAAAGCTCACAATGTGTATGAACTAATTTTGAATGTACAAGGGGGACAGGGATCAAGCCTAACTGGAGGGAGGCAAAGGGACGTGAACCGCCATGGTCACTACACGGAGTGCACTACCTGACTGTGCATACATGCCTTTTCAAGCGTTCTGACCTGATAATATGACAGGAACACCTGATGTCGGCTAGTTGCCACATCAGTGTTTCTAACCAACAAGTACGAGGTCTTTCAGACCCCTNCCCCTGCCTGGAATACGAGAGACATCTCTACGTAATTGCTCTGCGCATCTCTTCAAGCCTCATTTCCATGTCATCCGTGGACCTCAACGTGGTTTTCTTCAGCCTGGAACGATGAATACGAATAAGACGCAGTGCGGCAGACGATAATAATAATAATAATACAGGTCCTAACCAGCAAGCCGATTAGTCTGAATTCAATGGGAACTCTCCATCAAGTCATTGCCACATGTCGTAGGGCTTGTCTCAGAGTTGCTTACACGCTTGTTCCACCCAACCCGCGCCAAACTACATAAACGGCGACTGTCGAGGACTTCTAGACGTTGAATATCTTCCATGCGCAAATTCATGGTCTCGCAACCGCAAAGTTGAACTGACTGCACATTGCGCACAGTATGCGCGACCTTCCAGCTTCGAGGAGAGATCACATTGTCACCAAAGGTGTTTCAGTCCTGCGTAAGCTGTTGGAGCCTTGGAACTGCGGGTGTTTACTTCCCTCATCATCATCGTACACTGAAATACAATGAAGCGAACTTCACTGACCGCTGCCAAACTCGCAATGCATACAAGGTTAGTGGTAAAATTTAAGGTGACAGGGATTGGATCTCTTTTGAGGATTGGAGAAGAAGATGAGCCACTATGGTCAACACACGGTACGCAATCGAACTCTGCATACATACCGTTTCAAGCATTCTAACCTGACAAGAAACGACAACAAGAACGCCACTGCTGCCGGTTCGCTGCCATATCCTTCAGTGTTTCCAACCAACCAGTTGTGGAGTTTTTCAGACCCCAACCTGGAAGGCGAGAGACACCCACTCTACCTAATGGCTCTGTGCATTTCTTCATGCCTCGTCTCCACGTCATCTGTTGACCTCCACGTGGTTTCCTCCAGCCTGGATTAGCTACAGCGAATAAAGCGCGGTGCGGCAGACGATGGCTGGGCATACGCAATACGTGCCCTAGCCAGCGAAGCCTAGTAATCTGAATTCGGTATGCTAGCAGGTTTATACCTGGCTGACTCCCAAACACACGACGGCCTACCTCCACGTTACTAACCCGTTCGCTAAACTGCGTAAACACCGATAATGGAAAACTTCTAGTCGACGGATATCTTCTACTCACAAATTCAGTGTCTCACAACCATAAAGCAGGACTGAACGAACGGTAGCACAATATACACGACCTTTCAACTTCAGTGAAACGTCGCATCTACGCCAAAGGTGTTTCAGTCCTGCGTATGCTGCTCGAGCCTTGGAAATGCGGGCGGTTATCTCCTTCGCTGCACTACCGTCATTGGTCACGCAACTACCTAAGTAGGAAAAGTAACCCACCACNTTTAGTCCTGCGTATGCTGCTCGAGCCTTGGAAATGCGGGCGGTTATCTCTTTTGTTGCGCTACCGTCATTGGTCACGCAACTACCTAAGTAGGAAAAGTAACCCACCACAACTAAATCCTGGCCATTTAGTGTCAGAATGGGAGTAGATGAAACCCAGTCCTGCAGCAACACTTGGCACTTTAAAGGTGCAAAGCACATACTGAATGTGGCAACTGCACTTGTTAATTTATCAAGTGCATTTTGCGCGTCCTCCATACATGCGAACAGACAGACGATATCATCGGCGTACTCCAAATCGCATAGCTTTT